TTTAAAATGGGTGCAGTGGGTACAGAGACTTCGATGCGGACAATAAACTAACGTAAATCAATCCCCTGTCACCCTCTATTGATATCATTTTCTTTAAAGGTGTATTTTGTATTTCCTAATTCCAATAATAATTAGATCAGGGAAATCTGACACTTAGATAGCGAGAGGCGGTGATCAGATCAATGTGACAGAGGTAGACTAGCAATATAAATAAACCGATACAACGAAATATCGAAGGATCCTCATTCCTCAGTATCACAATCACTTTTAACGACAATTTATTTTAATCTTCATTCATGTCTTTTTCATTGTGATAGTGCTCTTAATATTGTTCCCAACGATATCAGTGCAAGACATGACATTTTGACATGTTTTGATCAAAATCCATGTGGTTGCAAAAAATAGATCACATTCATGTTTTGGTCATAAATAACGATTTTGACATGTTTTGATCAAAATCCATGTGGTCGCCAAAAATAGATCAAATTAATGTTTTGATCATTGAGATAATGCTCTTGGTCTTTTTCCCAACGTTCTTGGTGCATAAATATCGATTTTGACATGTTTTGATCAAAATCCATGTGGTCGCCAAAAATAGATCAAATTCATGTTTCGATCATTGAGATAATGCTCTTGGTCTTTTTCACAACGTTCTTGGTGCATAAATAACGATTTTGACATGTTTTGATCAAAATCTATGTGATCCCAGAAAAATAATTTAACATATTTGAATCACACACATGAGATTATCAAATGTGCACGTGATGTACTCTTTCAGCATCAAGATAATGCGTTGGAAAACTTTTGAAACTCCAATTTCATGTGTAAAAAATAATTTTGGTTACATTTTGCTCTAAAACTTTTGACCTGTACCACAGAGAAGAGTTCTATTGAATTCGTACAGATCTAAGAGTCATAGACAATAATCTAGCGAAAGTCCGAACTAGATACATGACCTGGAGAATGAAATATGTTGATTTCTATTATATTGAGCGCGCAGTTATTCCTGCTCCCGATTCACTCAAAGTCCTATAACTTTTGTTCCTGTTGAACCAGGTTCCTGAAAATCACCGTCCTTAATGTCCAAAGTACCCGTACACCAAATTTCAACACAATCGGACACTTTTAAAAAGAGTTAGAGCGCACACGGACGGACGACAATACAAAACTATAAAGTATCTGAGGATCCTTAATAAATAGACGAAGAGTTCAAGGAGGGCCTGCTTATGAGATTTCCGTTGCTTGAATAGGTTCTGTTTATTAAAGATCTCCCTACATTTCATTTGGATAACGATTGATTAGGGGTAAAAATTGATGTAATAAATATATAACATGACTGTACTTCAAGTATTTCTTCTACATTGGACAGCTAAGGCCTATGGTTTTCTGAAACGTTATTCAAATATGGAGAATCTAAGTAATACAAAGCGACCCTAAATAATGCTTAAGGTCGAATCTATTATTATAAACTAACGAAACTTGATCCGACACCACTTAGAGCACTAATAAGGTTTTCTGCCCTCCAGATCTATTGCGCCAGCATGCCAAACATTTCAGTTAGATAAATCACTCCTACTTTTTTGCGGCCGACATAGTCTTTGGTATTAGATAATACATAAAATGTCTCAAAAGCCCTTGATTGCGTGTAATCCGGGGAAAATACCATTAACTTTTGAGATTGTACCTCGTAAGCAATTTGTTACGAGATCTGGATACTTATAAAACGGAAATGTTCCATCAGGTAGGGTCTTGGGACCAAGACTTTTTCTCATATACCTGGATGACATTTCCCACTTTATATGACACGGAAGAAATTGTAGCGAGTATCTCACACACCGGGGGTGCTAGCAGGCGTCATGAAGTCGGCAAGTCACCGGTGATAAGAAATGAGAGCGGATTCTTTTCTGGAAATGTGGTACGCCTTCTAGATTCGTTGAGAATGTTCCGTGGTTTTTTCAAGAAATTTTCCGTTTCTATAAAGTCAAATTGAAGCGTGTTTAATGGCAGTTCCAACATCGGTGCCATAGTGAATATCAGTGAAGTTCGCGATTGTATGCGATAAATTTACAGGTTATAAATTGTATACAAGTGACTGATTTAACTGTTATAAATGAATCCATTTAAGGACTGTTATACATTCATTAATAATCAATTGTAAATAAATAAATCATGTCCTTAAATTTACGTTACACTAAGAGATATACCTGATAAATCACGATTCTATACATTCATCAGAATTGGAGCTTAGAGTACAAAACTTCGAGACTTCTACCCTTGTGATTGTATCAGTCAAACTGACAGAGTTTTCGGAACACTATCTGCGAGTGTATTAATTTGAGATGAGGTTGTGAAGTTATCGAAGATAACCTCTTTTCTTGTACCATTAATGAAAGTTTTTTTCACTAACAACTGAGGACCCATCCTCTTCCATTTCACTGACTAACATACTTTTTGCTGATAAATTCGCTCATTAAGATCTTTTATCCCAACTAAAAGAAAGAGTTGGGATGCTTTGTTAGCACTGTAGGTTTCAATCACCACAATACTTGCACCTTTATACCTTACTCATATTGACCTGCTTAGTGTTTTACATCCTTTTCACATCAATACGTTTCGTAATATCCTAACTTGTAACTATTGTAAATCTGACTACCACTTATTCCAGGATTTCTCTTGTTCAATCGTTACGTTATTGTTTCCTGAAGAAAGCGTACTTCTGCAAAATGTATGTTTATTTTCAAAAACTAGTAGTCAAATGAATATTTGGTTTAAAAACCACAGAATCATACAAAACTACTTTCATCCAAAACAATATATTAATCGTCCCAAATCTTTATATACAGATGGGGCATAAATAACTCCCCTGGTAGAGAAACTAAATGAGATACTGAGATAGGAAATTTTTCTTTTTAATATCCAAGAACACGAATAATGCATTTAGAATACGCAACATTAAATTGTTTTACCCAAAATCGTCCTGAATCCTTCATTTTCATGCTTAATTTCTGTCAGGAAATGTTAGTTTCCATCACAGAGGTAGAGCAGACTACGTTTCCTGCCGCTTGTCACTTTACCAAATGTCTATAATGACTTCTGTCACACTGACAGATTGACATTAATCAAAAGTTCTATATAAAGATTGAAATTTTATATTAAAAGACGATGTCTGGTAAAATTTAATACAAAACTCGTCAGTAAAATGACATTACCTGACTCGAAAATTAAAGTACTCGGCCCCAAAGGAGCCTCGCACTTCAATATTTCCTCATCAGTAATGTAACATTTTCTTGACTTTTATGTAAATAACTATTAAATACGTCACTCAAATGGCGTCCTCGATTCATGACACATGGATACGGATTAGAGTGCTTGGCAGTATTGTAGGTTATGCAGTGGGGGGGGGGGGGGGGGGGTATCCTTGACTATTGCCCTCAGAAAATTTCAACCAATCATATTAATGCATATTACAGAAATCACAGACAAATATCCTCGAGTATTCTTGCACTTGTGCAATACCCGCGGGTATTGCTTATGTGTAAATACCTAAAATGAAACTTACATAAATAATTCCAAATTGTATTAACGAAAATTACAATTTGTAAAATGGCAATTTGTAACTGAACCCATGCTTATTTTCGGTTTCATGATGCTTTCTGAAAAACCATGTCTTTGAACGGATCGAAACAAACATATTTTTCTTATCTTGCAAAATTTTTGTCGGGCAATAGTCATTCCGTATATCTCTCGTGCACGCCAAATACCAGATCTGAGTATTCAGGCATTTGGCATGCACTTGGGATATAATACTTGAATATTTGCTGCACGCGTGCCGTTTTCAGTAAAAAGCGCACAAATGTGACATATCCTTTAAGCGCTGCTTTAATGTAGTAGAAGAAATTAATCTCATATGGGTAGATAAAACAGATAATACGCATAAAAATAAGTAACTTTGGAAAACTGAGACAATGTTTTTTCCTCAATCGCATTTCTTTACTCCTCAAACTAAAAAATAAAACTTTTCCGATGAAACGTATAACGAATTTGACGTCATTAATTACGAGCCGTGAGCTTATTTCCAATACTGTGTCCAATTTATTACTTCTTCAACAATCGCACGTTTTATCTGTTGCTAGGTATTTGGTTGTAAAGAGAAATAAATATCATATAAAATCAGACTTTTTTACTTTACAATTTTTCACCTTTCACCTCTTCCCGAACACTTGGCAATAAAGTAAATAATTTAGTTCGGATTAAATATATAGTGGACTCCAACTACTCGAAGCGCGTTGCTTCAAAGCCAAAGTTGATACAAATAAATAAAATATTCCTTAAATAACAAAAGAAAGTAACTTGAAAAGGGACGATTGATGAAGCTTGGAGAGGTACTTTAAGATTAGTGGCTTGCTAAAGTTTTTTTCGCTCTGTGGCTGTTATGCGACGATACATCGCTTCTATACAAATGTATTGCTTCCAACTTCGAGACTGGGGGTAATCGACTTTTCTCTCATTGATTTACTTATTTTTGCATTCTTTCTCGACCGATTTGAAAGAATTCGTTACGTACGAATTATGGCATTTCACGTAACGTAGAAAAATAAGAATCTTAAGTGTACCTTGTAGTCAATACTGAATTATACATTAATAGAAATAGAAAACTCATATGAGTATTATTTGCCGAATGGCCTAATTTAGTTAAGGTGCTACTACAAAACACGTTCACGTAACCAACGATAAGATCATTGTAATATGAATTAATGGGGAACATATCATTTGGCCATTAAGTAATCAACTACTCGAGCTACATAATGATATTTACATTATAACTAGTGAGCGGAAGTTGTGGCACTAAAAATCACAAAAATTGCGCCATAAATGGCAACCAAAATAAGGAAAAATTGCTCTAAATAAACTAAAAATTGCAAGTTATTAATCTTTATTAATTATTTTTATTTATTACTTATCATTAGTATTGCCTTATTACTAAATATATCGCTAACGATTTACGCGTTGTAATTGCACACTATATACATTTCTAAGTTTTCTTCGGTGAAATTACACCTTCGCGAATCTAAAATGTGCTTGTATATGGAAAATGCACGTTCGACATCTACACTAGTAATGGGTGCATATTTAAATTTTGGAATCATCTCCACTTTAATGTCTTCATTACCTTCCCCATCACCAGTTAAAATTGTTGAATACTGTTCAAGCGTTTTAAATCCAACATTTTTTTCTAAAACATTGTCTAATTTAGATTTCAGCCGTTTTCCTTTCTCGCCAGGAATACGTATTATTTTGGATTTTACGTCTTGCACGATAGATATGCTGTCATATAGTGACATTCCTTGATTTTCTAATTGCTTCAAACACTCAGGGAGAAAGCACAAGTGTGTTTTAATAAATATTAATTCATTCTGTACGCTTCGTTCTTCTATTAAGAGTTTTAATTTTTTTACGGATTCTGCGTCATCCTCTAACCTCCTAACAACTGCAGCAAATTTTTCATAGTTGTTGGCGTAAAATATCGCTGCTTCCAACCAAGTACCCCAACGAGTAATTATTGGCTCCGGAGGAAGAGGCGAATCTGGCATAATTTCTTTGTATATTGCCACACGTGAAGGTGCTTTAAGGAACGCTTTCTTTCCTAAAAGATCCCACGGTCAAACAAGTACTAAAACTTAAATATAGTAATACCATTGTTAACCAATTTGTTAACTCCAGGGCACAGTTCTCTGGCAACCTCTGCAACCCTATTTATTCCATGTGCTAGACATGTAACATGTAATAAATTTGGATAAAAAACCTTCAGTTTTTGCAGCTTTAACCATATAAGGCGCTGCATCGGTAAGTAAAAGTAAAACGCGCCCATTAATGGTAGACGAGAAAGCAGTAAGAGATTTGTTTATAAACTGACATATTGTTTCAAAATTAGTTGTTGGCAGACGTTTACAAGCAATGAGAAATGGTTTCTGGGGTTCATCAGTGTCTAACACGCCAACCAGCAAATTTGCAATGTAGAAACCTATAAAATGAAATTTCAGAAAAAAAAGATATTGTGAAAATTCTACTAGCCTCTGGAATCTGTTGTTTCGTCTACAATTAAGTAAACATAGCTATTCCCAACGGAAGTTTTAATATTTTCCATTTTCTTCCGGAATACTGTTGGAAGGTATGTTTTCCTTAAAGTACTTTCATCTGGAACGTGACGGCTTGTGTACTTTTCCAGAAATTGTTTGAAAGGTTCCGCATTTACTTTGTAAAAAGGTATATTGGACCCCAAAAGTGCACCACATAAATCCTCGTAAAATTCATTTTTTTTATCACTGGAAGTCAAGGCAGGTATGGTCAGCAAAGTTTGTTTGCTTTTCACATTTTTACTCAATGCGCGTATGTGGCTTTCTATAAAATGTCACTAGATCAGCAACGAACGAGAAATAAATACAGTTTAAAACTTACCAGTTTTAACATGGGCGTCTATAAAATATTTTTTTCCTGTCCCTACGGATTTAGAGCAGACATTGCAAAATATAATTTTGCCATCTGAAGTAAATACTTCCGCGTTTTTATTATAAGGACCAATCCACTCTTGCAATTTTTGGGAAATTGATGAAGCAACTTTCGGCATTTTAACAGAAATATAGGATTAACAATACCACCTACACTTTTTATAAGGTATTACTCGCACTGGCAGTCTATATAAAATGCAATTATTGTAATATATGTTCCCTGCTTAGGTTTCAAGTTACTGAGATTATTTTTGTGCTATCTCGTACGTGTTTTACGTTCAGCCGACGCAATTCATAACCAGCTAAACATATTTAAGTGAGGATCATTATTCATTCATTAATATCATCTGACTAACGTTGAATTCGCGAAAAATTGCACTAAATTAAGGAGTATTGCATAAAAATTGCAATAACATGGAAAATTGCAAAATAAAATTTGGTTAATGCCTTCTTTTTATTGAGTCTGGTGAAAGTCTGTTATTAGAAAATCTTTACAAGGAACCAGACACAAATTGCAAATGCCACAACTTCCTCTCTCTAATTATAACTTATACAAAAACAGGAAAACGGAATTATGGTTGTATTTGAGAGACATTTATTTTGATGATAAGTGAAGTGAATGATATTGAATGAACTAGATATTTATTTTGAATATGAATAAATATGGATGTAACACATAGGTTGCAAGCTTTACCCAATTAGTGTGATCAGTACTAAAGAGTTGGTACGGAGCAATTTGATGCTGAGTTTTCCTCCGTTAAACAATAAAGGAATGACAGGGCGCAAATTTTTCTTGGTCCATAAAAACCCATTGCTGATTATAAATATCGGCAAATATTAAAACTAAAAATAAAACTGTAGTAAATTAGCCAGTCTCATTTGCCAGACTTGAAATGCTTTGTCACACGTAGAGAACGTGAAAATACAAAATATACCTACAATCCAAAGTAATGAAAATACAGGACTGTAGTTGAAATATTGTTGGTATGTAACTTCAAAACATAACCTCACATGCTCTTATGAATATGTGGGTTTCTGCATTAGAAGAGCAAAACATGGTTGATAGCAAAAAGAATGGCATTAAAAAGGGTATTCGCCATGAATTTAGCACAAGCATGTTCCGGTACCGGAAATTTGACACGTGACTGAACAACACAGGCAATGCCTGCAAAATGACTATGCACAAAAATATAATATTATATATATATATAGGATATATATATATATATATATATATATATATATATATATATATATATAAATACACACACACGGCATAACCACAATAGCACTCCACTGAACTCTGTACCTACTAAGAATGTACAAGGTAGTGTAAACAGGACGTCGTGTACGTATAGAAACAGCAAATGCACGTGAAATACAGGGTGTTACACGACCGTTCGAAAAAAAAAATCGGGTTGTAGAGGGCATCAAAACAAGCACTTTTTCCAAATAAATCGAGGGTCCAACGTGTTTCGTTTGGGAGCCACCCCCCAAAAAGTGTTGAAATCTGCATTTCTTCTTTAATTTTTTTCTCAGCAACCATAAGAGTTACAAAGTCGGGTGGCATGTCTTTGAATAGGTTTTTGGGTATGCTCTTTCCGATTTTGCAATTTTTTTTTTCAAAATTCCTACCCCTAAAGGGCGCACCCCTAAACTAGGGTGCAAAAAAAATTCTGATTTCGACGAAATTTGGTGTCTGGGGGTTTTTAACATGAAAATCACGAATCTGAAATTAGTTTTTGAAAATTCGAAAAAAAAAGTTCCACTGCAATTCTTGGCGGGACAACGAAAATAGAGATAATTCCACGAAATTTGTTGTGTACATACTAAACGAGTTAAGGAACAAAACTGTCGAACAGTTTTTTTAAAATAACTTTTCAAACAAAAGTTATACTCATTTGAATGTTGGTCCTTCGGGTCGCGAAGTGTCCCAAGCCTACTAGTAAGCCATAATTTCGCATGTGTTGGTTGACAATGTTATTTTTCAACCTAAGATTATGAAAATTTTTGATCATAGTGAAAAAGTATCATACGGAAAGTGATTTGACTTTTTCCCCTACCTTATTTAGATAATAAATAATCGACAGCGCTTTAAGATACCTTGGTAGGTGTTTTAATCGATACATCGAATTTTTTAATCATTTAATGGCCGAATTAATTCCAAATAACAAAATATCGACTCAAACCGTTAATCTTTTGTTTTTGCGACATTGTCAACCAACACATGCGAAATTATGGCTTACTAGTAGGCTTGGGACACTTCGCGACCCGAAGGACCAACATTCAAATGAGTATAACTTTTGTTTGAATAGTTATTTTAAAAAACTGTTCGACAGTTTTGTTCCTTAACTCGTTTAGTATGTACACAACAAATTTCGTGAAATTATCTCTATTTTCGTTGTCCCGCCAAGAATTGCAGTGGAACTTTTTTTTTCGAATTTTCAAAAACTAATTTCAGATTCGTGATTTTCATGTTTAAAAAACCCCAGATACCAAATTTCGTCGAAATCAGAATTTTTTTTTGCACCCTAGTTTAGGGGTGCGCCCTTTAGGGGTAGGAATTTTGAAAAAAAAATTGCAAAATCGGAAAGAGCATATCCAAAAACCTATTCAAAGACATGCCACCCGACTTTGTAACTCTTATGGTTGCTGAGAAAAAAATTAAAGAAGAAATGCAGATTTCAACACTCTTTGGGAGGTGGCTCCCAAACGAAACACGTTGGACCCTCGGTTTATTTGGAAAAAGTGCTTGTTTTGATGCCCTCTACAACCCGATTTTTTTTTCGAACGGTCGTGTAACACCCTGTATACACCTAATAATAAATAACGTTTAGCCAAACCTTTTTCTACCCTTCTTCTACTTCTACCCTCCGCTTGCCAACTTGTACTAATTACAATTAATAAGTGGATGCGGTTTTACAGAAGGTAATTATTGCATAATGCTCTTGATGATCACTATACCTTGAGAGAAAATTCGATTTGTAAATGAAAATTAAAAAAAATTTATATTTCACGTTAACCAATTATCTAATCTTTATACATAACGCATTAGCCGCCGACAATACGCCATCGCCAACTCCCTTTTTTTGTACATCCCCAATAAAGTAAAATAAATTGTATGCCACATTACATTCCGAATGTTTTAGTATTTAGCCAGCGCAAAAAGGTGGTACGTACGACTACATCGAATTGAATTCCTACAGAGTGCCGTATTCAAGCGTACCTGATCAATCTTGAATAAACAAGCGGAGAATATCCAATATGCAAATTTTAGCTTATTTGGCTACTTTGCAGGGTATGGCGGTCATTTTAGTATTGAAAAATGGTGTTGAGTAAGCAATCGGTTTCTATTCACAAAGTCCGACGAGATACTGTAAAATTAATTCGCTCGTTTTGTTTTTAGTAATTTAAACGGCAATTAAAATTTTGTTAGTGTATTTTAATTAAAATTTTCAGAAGTTCATAATTAATACCAAAGTTTCACAAAAGGCGGCGCATGTTCGAAAATAATATAAAAGGTTCTGTGCCAGGCAAAATTTGATGCTATTATATCGCAACCCAATAAGCTCAGATTAAACTTACAAATATCGTTAGGCAAATGATTTATTTATCAGTCTTTTACCATATAATATACATCTTCACTGAAATGGCATGCTCTGCGCCTCAAACGTGCATTCCCCAGATAAAACAAACCACTTTGCATAGTGACGATTTTCCCCACATTGTCCTGGTTTCTAATTGTAATAAATTGTCCCTACATATACGAAATGTTGATAGTTCTGTATACGTATGGCTCTGCTTGCTTTTTCCTTTTTTATTATTGTGGTACAGTACGGCCGTAAAAAGAAACCCTCATAGTCCATAAAAGACATTTATCACCCCGTATTCAGCTATACAAATTATATTTACATCCATTTTAACCACCATTTTACTGCATTCTACTTCCGAACATTTTTACCGAATGTACTTCCATTTTCTTAATTGAACAAATAAATCTACTGCTATTTTATGCACCTGTGTTAGATTAGGGTTATATCGAACGCTAAATATTCCGCCGTCCTTTAATTTGGAGAAAATAATCGACTTTACATTTCTGTGACACTAATGAAGTATATTCTTTCGTAAAAAATATCGGTGTCTGGGTCTAGTGAAATTCAATTTGCGCTCTCGCAACAAAGAATGGCTATTCTGTAAGCTCGGCGACCGCTAACATATTTCTGACATTCTATGTGAACGCGTGGCAGCTCAGAAAACTGCGCTGACCGTAATATATCAGGCCAACCGACACATGTTCTGCGAGCTGCTTGTTCTCTGATTAGATATATACTGAATTACATTTAAAAAGTTCACACGACATTACATCAACTAAATGTGTTTCCTTCACAGAATTCCTCAAATATATGAAGGACGCCATCTGCACCCTTTTTTAACGAAAATAAATTTCCGTCAGTTATTTTAGGAATTATAACATTTACAAAATTTCGGCGAATTAATTTTAATAAAGATAAC